GAGCATTAAAACTAACTAAATCAATTTCCCCACATCTATTGGTTAAAATTACTCCCCATTAGACTTTTTTAGAAAGTTTAGCTTTATGATTGTTGTTTATTTATAGTCTGTTGAACTTTTCCAAATTTTTGTACACAGATATGGTAATAATAATGGTCCAAAATGATGTGAAATTGCATTATTTTTACTGGAAAACAGAAGGTCCCGCAAACCCACCAACCAAGTTTGTTTGCAACATGTGATAAATGTTGTGATTCAGTGTTTCCCCTGTTATGGGCGGCTCGCCCAAGTAAATTTGGCGACCCATTTTAAAATTGTTCTTGATTGCAGCACTGCGCAGCGCATATTCGCACTGCACATCCTCTCACTCGGTCGCGCCATCTCTTTCGCTCTCTCGCAAACACTGTAAACAGACCCATCTGTGAATTTAATGGTTGGTATCATAAACACAGCTGCACAAATCTGTCCAACACAACGCTGTCAATGTCAGAGACCCATCTTCAAAACCATTATTAGCAAGCATGTAAGGAGCCTAGCTAATAAGGAGAGCTATGTTAACTTTGGAAAACACCTGTCGAAGTTACCACGCTGTATAACTGGTAGTCTACAGATGCGCTCGAGATAACTGGCTGACTTTCGCCGACTTGATAAATAGGGGAATAAGAACAGCGCTATCAAGTCAGACACAATCTACCTCCGGTAGACTGCGTGAGCTTAGTGAGTTTATAACAATTATCAGGCCTTGCTCCCACGAGGTCTAGTGACGTTTTGCAGCGCAGGTGTTGTGCCGAATTCTGCAGGCCTGCCGTGAATTGCATACACCTCGCGGGAGGACACTTTGCTGTTTGAACGCGGTTAACGCCACATGTTTTTGCTGAATCTCAAGAAATGGTACTTTTACTAAGTGTAATAACATATTAACGATTCTAAACGTTCATAAAATATATACTGATCATTTATCACTATTGATGAACCCCACAAAGAATAGTATAGCGTTTAAAAGCAGAACTTTAATGCATTTTCATATAATTCTTGGCAGGCATGACACCTGTGACAGTCGACTGCCCCCCACCACAGTTACGCTGTCAATCTGTGTGAAACACTGAATGTTGGTGTTTTATATCCAGATATAAAGCAGGGAGCACATTGCCAGCGCACAAAATAAAATCCACTTCACCTCCGCTGCTACAACCCCATCCTAGGGGAAACACTGGGATGTATAAAAAAAATAAAACAAAAAACATATTTGAATCAAAGCCATCAGCCAATGTTTAGTGGTGACTCCATCAATGCGAATAGTTGAGTGGAATAACCTGAAACTGCACCACCTGATTTAGCAACTATATCAGGGCTGGAAAAATTAAACCAACTATCGATAAACAAAACTGTACTAAGATCATGTCACATGCTGACAGAAAGCATTAACATTGAGAAACCAAAGTACTTGGACCAAAATCTCAAATCTTTAATGATTGCTTATGAAAAACACCCCCCCCCCCCAAACTGAATTACATATTATTATTATTATAAGAAAACAGTCACACTTAGTGTGACTTGGAAAAGGGACAAAGTGAAAGAGGCATAAAATAAAAATAAAACTGTAAACTTATCATACAATAAAGTATCTGAAATGAGTTCAACCACTCAAGCCACATACAAAATGAACAGAACTAAAAGTATATAGAAAATGTGTTATTTTAAAAAGTTTATAAATGTATTTACATAAAGAGTACAAAAATTATACCATGCACTAAAATGCCAACCCTAACCTCTGTGCTACACCAAGGTCCTACCAAACAATGCCAATTTTGCTAACCATTACCTCTCGTCCTCGTCAAAACGCTGTCTCCAAGGTGTGAAACAAAAACTAAACTACAGGACATCCGGAAACACACACACACACAAAAGCGAAACAGAATGACTGCATAAAACCACATCCTTAAATACAAAGAAAGGACTCTTTGTCCCATTTAAATCTGCAACTGATCTAACTTTAGTCACATTTTACTCACACGATTAAACATTTGGTACTTTTTCTAATCACTGATTTACCATGAATGCCCTACAAAACCCAGGAGTCAAGCAGCAGCCTGCCCACACACATCCAGACCACCCACCCATCTTGAACATATCCCATTAATGACTCGTCAGTGCAGATGGAGCAAATGCACGATTGACACGCTACCTCATTCAATACACTCTCTCGCTCTCTTACACACACACACACACACACACACACACACTCTAAAGAGACTCTGGTGTTTTACAGCAGCACCTTAGGTGTGGATTAATGATGGCCGGGTCTTCCCACACGTTCAAACCAGAAAATATGTGAGCCACACAGCAGGTCATAGGAACTGTACAACCACTGACATGAGACACCGACACCCTGCCAGAACATGCCTGTGTATGTGTATGTGTGTGTGTGTGTGTGTGTGTGTGTGTGTGTGTGTGTGTGTGTGTGTGTGTGTATATATCTCCCTACAAGATAGAGAACAAATCAGTTTTTATGAGAGGGACTTGCACCTCTGCAATTAATACACAAATGGGAAAAAAAGTCCCATGTCTTACAAATGCCTCCATTAAAGTGGCTTTAAGAAGGTAAAATAACTTTACTCTCATTTTGTGCAAAGAGGCAGTAATCAATACCAGTCAGTCATACCACAATGACATTTAGGGCGAAAACTCAATAATACTGAACAAATGAACGCAAAAAGAAACTAATATGCACAAAATGTGTGGCCAAGCCCTGGTTAAATTTTATTAAGTTAAAAAAGGTACAGGAGAGATATCATGCTTTCTAAACAGAAAGCGACAGCCTGGTCATGTGTTTTAGCTGGGAATGTCCCAGGTTCCCTGAACTATCCACTGTGCAGGGGTAGTTTGAGTGAACATTGGTGCAACTTCCACTGAGTTGAATGAACTCATCTCTCAGAACTTCAATGAAACTAAAATATTAAGAGCTTCACAATATAATACTTATCGCTAATTAGACTGTGTGAAGTGTTAAATTGAGATCCAATGCCTGCATTTTAAATCATTATGCCAGTCCGCCTTTTTGTCCAACGGACTGAAGGTGAAAACCAATGCAAAGTTAGCAATTAAAATAGATCACCCTCTTTACCAGTATATTAAAAACTATTCATACACGAGGACTTTTTAATCTGTAATTAACTTCTACACAGAACAGGCACAGGCTTTTCTGGAGAAACACAAAAATTCTATCAGGTTAAGTTTGTTTTATTTTTATCCAACTCTTTCTTTTATCATAAGGAAAACAAGTAAAGTGACTTGACAGTGCTTTACATAACGTATAACCCTGTAGAACAGCTTGATGTTTTAAAATGTATTCTCCAGTCTAGTCTTAGAATAGAAAAAATATGTATAAAAAACTCAATTAAGCATCTGCAGATGATGACATATGAAATGACTTGAATCTGCAGAAAAAGGCTTGACTGGGACATCTTTGAAAGTGTATCAAATGTGTTTGCATCAGCTGATGAGGATGTGCTGTCATCTCTGGGTTTGCACTACTTCTTTGTCAATGGTGGGCGCTACAGTATGTATAAGCAGTCTAATGTGTGCTCCTAAATTAATTAATCTAATTTAGACTCAGTCAACAGAAGTTCATTGGTTAAGAATGACAGAAATTGAGGGGGAAACAAACTTCAGCAGGCACTGTCAACTAGAGAGAAGCAGAGAGCCGTGAGCCTAATTCACCAGGACAATCTTCTCATTTGTAACATGGGCTTTGGTTTAACCCAAATGCTGCTTATCATCAAAGACAATAATCCACCTGATCCCCATAGATTTCACATTCCTCAGAGTTAAACATCATGTGATAACAGTAGCCATCCTTCAGTGTCCATCTAACTGGCCCATAAAGACAGATTGAAACAAAACCAACACCGTGTCACCCTCTAAATTCTCAGTGATGAAAACAAGTGCAGTAATGAATATATCTTGGTTTCTCCACCCTATCTGTTCATTATTATATTTATGTTTAATATCCTAAACGCTAAAGTCGGGGAAAAGGGCTCAGGGTTGTAAGAGTGTCTGAAATGTGAGCCATTTCCTGCTGCAAGGTAACAAAGTAACAAAAATTCCCTTGTAGCATCAAAATCAGTTCTTATAACTCATTATTGGCAGGACAATCCACGAGGCTTTAAGCTGGTTCAACACATAAATCACTAGCAAACTGTAGTGACTGGAGAAGAGTAACAAAGAGAGGTGGAGGAGAGAGTGAGAGATTTAAATCAATAAGCTTTTAGTGAAGGAAAGGGACTACTGCACTACACTTTTCACGTCAACAAGTAAACCACCACGTCTTCCTCATGAGTTCATCCAAAAAGGCAGAAAGAGTATTTTTAAGCTTTTCTTTGAGAGACTGTAAAACAAAATTAAATATTGTCTGTAATGTTTCATCTGTAGAACTAGACTATTTTGTTGATTACTACCACATGTGCAGCCACTTGCCTTGTTCTACATCTAATTAAATGAATCATACAACCTCTGCCTTGTTTCTTGCTCTCCAACAACAAAATGTGCTGAGAGTGTGTGTACAGCGAACTGTGCACCTAGCAGAAAATTGTGCTCTGTAAGGCAAAGTATCGGGATTCAAGCAAGGAGGCAGGCTAGGTAAAATGTCAAATCACTGCAGCCACTTGATAAAAAGACAAGAGACGTCACGTCCAGCTGAGCCCTGCACTGTGTCCCACAGACAGAGGACAGACTGACTGTGGCAGCCTGGCTACTGTCTAGGAAAACAATAACACTTTTCTTCCCTCACAGCTGCCACAGCAACCAGTGAAATCATCCAACTTAAAGTAGACTCTGAATTCTGAGTTGGGCAACAAACATCACTTTAACAGGAGGCGTCTCTCAGTAATCTACTCTGATTCCAGACTAGTGCTCTAAATGTTGCGTTCACCTGTGCAGAAAAACATGTCACAAATGTGGTTGCAACTGAACAAATAAAGTAAGGAAACAGATTATCTTACCCATCCTCCTCTCCATCAACCGTTTTGAGGCCAGCTGATGCAGTTAAGGCACTGGCGGTAGCGACATTGCCCTCAGCCTCTTGACCCTGGCCAGTGCTGGATCCAGAGCCAGACTCCCCTCCGGACAGCTTGGGTAGCCCCAACAAAGCAGACTGGTGCTGGAGGAGCAGCCGCTGGGCATCCTGCAGCTGAGTGGTGGTGAAAGTGGGCAGACTAGCATAGAGAGCGCTGGCCTGGGCAGCATGAGCCAGGGCCTGGGCACTGCTGTGGTCCTGGGGCAAGCTCTGAGGAACGATCTGTGAGGGCATCCTACCACTATTCCCAGTGTTTTGGGCTTGGGGCTGGGGATCGCTCTGAGGGTTGGAAGGAGGCACGCTTGGTGCAGACACTTGGCTCTGGTGGACTGTTGTGGGCAGCTGGGTGCCGAGGGCCGGGTTTTGGATTTGATTTGGGAGTGACTGTGGCTTCTGCTGCTGGCAATCCAGATGGCCGGGGTGGCTCTGAGGCTGCTGGGCAAAACTTGGTACTCCAACATGAGAGGTGGTGGCCTGAAGGGAGGAGGGCTGCTGAGGCTGAGTGTGGAGGAGTGCCTGTGACTGCTGCGGGCTTCCCATCATCTGACATGCTCCATTAGCAGGCCCAGAGGGAGCTGCTCCAGCTTGGTTGGACAAAGGTTGAGAGGCAGCAGCCTGGGGGATACCCTGGTGTGGCTGGGTGTACTCAGGTGGCCTCACCTGCACTGGGGCTGCTTGGGGGGTAGCAGGCGGCTGCTGTGGCAGAGTGGCATAGCCTAACTTCTGCTGCTGAACACCCACTAGGCCCTGTGTGGAGCCTAGGGATTGATTAGCAACTGCCTGGGCATAGGTCAGCTGCTGCTGGTGTACAGCAGCGGCAGGGAGTCCAATGGTGGTCTGGTGGCCTGGCATGGGAGCAGGCTGATGAATGTTTGGTGGAGCCGAGGGGGCCACAGTAGTATTCACATGTGAATGGGAAACATCCTGGGGGTGCATGTGAGGTTGGGACACACCCATACTTAAGCCACTGGGGAGGATTCCTTGAAAGCCCTGAGGAGGGGAGGCATAATCCTGGGCATGCTGGGGTACTGCGGATCCGCCAGCCTCTCCGCTGCACACACTCTCAGTATAATGGCTCAATGTACTCATAGTGCTACTCACAGAACTACCACTTGTGCTTTCCCTCTCTGAGGCCCCAGCAAAGCTGTCAGAGACAAACTGACGCATGCTGAGAGACCCAGTATCAGTTGCAGAGGAGCTGGGAGCAGAGGCCGGGGTATCCTTGTCATAGAATTCAGTGCATGTCCATCTGCCCTTCTTAAAAGGCTCAGAGCTAGAGTCCAGCTTCACCACCCTAAAGCGAGAACTGGTGGTAGCCGCTGCAGGGGCTGGAGCTGGGGCAGGCGCGGATGGTACGGGGGCTGTGGCCATAGTTGTGACAGGGGCACTCACGGGCTGCAGCACAGCAGATCCAACTCTTCCCTGGATCCCACTGGAGAGTCCCATCCCTCCAGAGGCACTGACAGCAGCACCAGCAGTTGTCGTAGTAGTCATAGTGATGGTGGAGTTGATGTTTTGGTGTTGCTGGATCATGCTGACATTGGTGGTGGTTATAAGGTTACCACCAGCTGCAACAGCACCACCACCACCACCACCTCCGCTCCCCCCACTGCTGCTCATCACATTTAGAGGAAAGCCACCGCTGCTACTGCTAGCACTCGTGCTGATCCCCCCTCTCACAGGCACGTTGGCAGAGCTCAACATATTCACATTACTAACACTGCTGGTCTGGGGATTAACTATGCTAACTGTAGTGCCCGTGGCAGAGCTGTGCATTCCAGGGACCGAGCCAGGGGCCACAAACCCCACAGGCTGAGCAACAATACTTGGAGGGGCAGCCTGGGAAACATTCTCTTGAGGGACCCCCATGTTAGAAGGCATATTCTGGGTGACACAAGATAAAGCTCCAGAAGTAAGGGCAGATGGGGTGCTCCCAGGCCCAGAGGACAGAGAGTACACCTGGGCATGGTTAGGATGATGAGGATGCTGATGGTGTACAGTCCCGTTGACCATGCCCCCGCCTTGCTGCTGAGCCTGGTTTAGGCCATGGGGGTGTGAAGGCTGGTTGGGGGAGAGAGCTCCAGGGGTCTCTGCCTCATGGAAATTATTCAGTGTCTCTTCCGAAGAGCTTCGCTCTGCTCCCACTATGTCATTTGCTCGGGAGAGGGACACATCCAGGATTTCAGAAGAAGAGAGATCCTCTGTGTGGGACTCATCCAGGTCATCATAGCTCTCTGTGTCCTCTGCAATACTGTTGTTGGTACTCACAGATATCTGCGCTGGAGTGACACTTGTGATCTGGAACCCGCTCTTCTTTTTTATCTGAGCTCCGGTGGACTGTGTGGGCTGGGGCTGGGAAAGCAGATTCAGGCTGTGGGGTGGAATATGATGGGGACCCGGGGAGGATGAACCAGCAGGGGGTTGGCACTGAATCAACAGGGAGGGTGGATAATCATCGGCCGGGACGTGGCTGTTATTGACCACCGGGTTTGCCGGTGTTGACAGCGCGGAGCCGCTCCCGCTGCCAGTGTTGCTACCCCTTCTGTGAAAGACAGCCGGGTGCGCCATCTTTCTAACACTGCCAGAGTCTCCTGCAGGGTCCGGATGATGCATTTCGAGAGAATCCGGGGGGTAGTTGGTCTCTGACAGTATGAAATAAGGTCGCAGTTCGTTAACGGCGCCGTTTTGACAAAACTACGGTCAACAGACAACACGACCAAAAATAAATATCTGAACCAAGTATCGGTTGCTCTCAATTATCAGGCAAAGTGGTGCCAATATTTACAGCCTCTCATACACGACCACTGTGCTCCGGTGTGACAGTTAGCGAGGCAAAAGAAGCTAGTGGCCGCTCGCTGAGTGGCTAGCGAGCTAACGTCAGCTGATGCCAGTTGTACGTTAATTCGCCGGCTAACTGCCAGCGTTATCCGTGTGTGCCTTAGTTAAGCACAAGCTAACATTTTGTGGGTTTTCCAAAGTGAAGATATGTTGTAATGGCCGTCCGTGCGAAAAGCAGAATAGCTGCTGAGTAAGTTAGCAGTGTATTAGATGCTAGCCTGACAGAGGAGTAACGTCAGCTAGCTAGCTGCCAGTCTCCATCACCGGCTAGCTAAACACAGACTATAGTGAGACGTTTCAGCTGCTGAATTTGCTCAAAGGAAAGAACACGAAAACAAACAACCTTTCATCCGGTGCACAGTGATGTAAGCCCGAATACGATCACTTAACAGCGGCGTATAAATGTTTAATCCATTCCACTGAATCCTCGTTTTGGTCTTGGTTTTGCTGTCTCACTGGTCCTCCCCAGCGGTAGCGTTGTTCAATATGTAGCCTCCTGCACCGCTGCTGTGGCTCTGTGCTGTGACGGGACTGAAGGGGAGGGGTGCTCCGTAATATGGCGACCGCGCATGGTCTCTGCTGCCAGACATAAAGCAGTCTGGGAGAGGCGGAGACGAGCCCGACATCAACATCCACGAAAAGCGCCGGAAAGTGCCGAGGAGAGGGCGCTCCCTCAAAAACCAGTTTTGTGACAATAGATAATGTTTCTGCGAAACATAGACGCAGGGCGATAGATAGATAGATAGATCACACCTAATCCCAGTGGAGTTTACAGGAGTGACATAATTCACAAATAATAATAACAATAAATGCTTTACAATTAAAAGAAGGTAGGTAAGGAAAGACAATATAAAATAAAATAATAACTAAACCTAGACCATACTTAACTCTAAAATATACTGAAAGTTCTTTATACTGTACCTCTGTACTCAATTACAATTTTGAGGTACTTGCATTTTACTTGAGTATTTTCCATTTTATGCTAGATCTACTACAGAAATGTTGTTTATTTACTCCACTAGATTTATTTGACAATATCCAAAAAAGTAAAAGATCTGAATACGCTGTGCACACTCACTGGATATTTTATCTAATAGTGATGTGGATTTATCCCTGCAGAAAATGCCAACTAGTACAGTAATTAACCGATGAAAATATAAAACAAAAAATGATATAGGTTGTAAATATATTTTCAATGACATTCTGTAGTGGATTGAGCAAAACATCAACAACAGTGTGAAACAAAGGTAGACAGAGAGCTGCTGGATCTCTCTGCAGACACAGGTGTTATCTACACTGAAAGATTATTCTACACACTGTTTGGGGCCTCTCTCTCTCTCTCTCTCTCTCTCTCTCTCTCTCTCTCTCTCTCTCTCTCTCTCTCTCTCTCTCTCTCTCTCTCTCTCTCTCTCTCTCTCTCTCTCTCTCTGTGTGAGAGAGAGAGAGAGAGTGTGAGCAGCTGAGAGAAAATGTACACATTTGTTGGTCTGCAATGTTGGCACACAGGTCAATGAACCCTAGCGCTAAACTGTCTATCCATTTTCTGTGTTCCAGTCTTTTCTGTTCATCTCTGGATATAAAGATCCTGTCTTAATTCTAACCCTTTCCAATTAATATTTTCTTCTCTTTCTATGATCAACAATAAAATCCTCATCACAACCTAACTGTAATCTTTGTATAGAAACTTAAAGCACATTCTCACACAAATACTTAAAGCACATTCTCCTTTACAGGTGGGCATCAAAGTGGTTTAACTTATGATGGATTAAACAGGTAAAACATGTAAATCTCAATGAAGCTAAACTAAACTAAATTGAATTGTCTCTCAATAGCAAAAGGCAGACTCCACCACTCTACTGGTTCTAATCACATGTACTCAAATTCTGTACTTAAAAAATGATTTGACGCACATGTACTTTACCTGTGTACTTTCACTTTATGGACACGTCTACTTCTACTCCACTACCTTTCAGAGAGAAATATTGCATTTACTACATAGTTTTAGTTCCAAGTTACTTAATGCAATTTAAGATTTTACAGACAAAACGTTTGAATATCTTTTGTAACATGATGCGTTTAAAAAAAATCTACCCAACAGTGTATAAACCTGAACAATTACTCAATTAATCAATTAGTTGATTTGTCAATGATCAAAGAATTAATCAACAATGTTTTGATAACTCATTAATCATTTAAGTTTTATGATAATTTGCTGCTTAAATTGCAGTAACTTGACATTTGAAGGTGTCACTTTGAGCTGTGTGTGTGTGTGTGTGTGTGTGTGTGTGTGTGTATCATTAAATATACTATAGACTCACAGGGACCATTTCTCTACATTGAGTACTTTTACTCTTTATGCTTTAAGTTCATTTACCTGTACTTTAAGTAATATTTTCAATGTAAGACCTTTACTCAATACTTTTCACTTTCCTCCACCACTGGACAGTCCCATGAAAATGTTTTTAACATCCCAAATTTGAAGTTACTGGTCTCATTTTGGGCTCCATAATTTTTAATGCAGTGTCTATTTAGCAATCACATAAATGGTTCCAAAGCTTGAATCATTGCTTGTTCAGTCTCATAGTACTTCATTTATCTGAATAACCTTGGATTTCACCACTCAAGTGATATTTGACCAAATAAGAGTAGGCTTTTGCAAAAAGGTTAGTGTCTCAAAATAACTGAATACTGCATCTGAGTTTGTTGAAAGATCGTTTTTTTAGACAAACTAAAAAACATGACATGTTTAGTTCACTTTACCAGTTTGGCCGTTTGGAAATAAATGTAAATCTTCTGAATGTCTATGGAAGCCTTGAAATGGACAGAGGCAGGGAGGGAAACACCTGAAACGGAGAGAGGAGGAGTCGAGGTAACTAATAGAGAGGAAGGACAGGGGTCAGTGAAGGAGGCGGGGGAGCGAGAAGAGAAGTAGAGATTGACCATCAGGCAAGCAGACAGGCTATGTCCATCGATACAAATGATAGAGGGCGAGAGACAGCAGGAGCCTAGTGCAGTGTAAGCGTCTGGTGCTGTCAGCAGCTTTAAATCACACTGGCACTCCACAACAACAAAAAAAACACACAGCACTATTGTGCCACTGCCCCAACAATAATGAACAATTTATACTCTGGACTCTGCTGTCATTTTGTAAACACTCTGTTCTCAGTGGAAGTAATGATCTTTATTTGCATAATAACACTTTTATGCTCTCTATATAGCTGGTTGAAAGATATCCAGCTCTTGGATGTGCCTTACGGTAGTTGTTTGTAAATGGATTCAGTTTGATCAGCTGGGTGTTTTTTGCTCAGGTGGTAGGCGGGTGGCTCAATTCCCAGCTTCTCCTGTTTAAAATTCCTGTAGACATGCAAGACATGTGATGCAGTGATTGCACGAGAAGAAGTAGTGACCACACAATCAAACCTTATTGTTACTGTTAATACTGCTGTTGTTGCGTGCTGTTCAGAGTAATAGTGGAATAAATAGGGATGAATACACAGAAACAAGTTTTCTGGGAACTGGAAAGCTGTGGAGTACTGCAAATATGTACAGTTACACAAATACTGCAATTAAGTACATTTTTGACCTACTAATACTTTAATTCCACCACTGTACATTTCAGAAGAAAATATATACTATAATATAAAATACGATGCCTTATAGATTAAACCACCCAACACTACATGCACAAGGTTAAATTACTTTTGATTATTACTTACTTTTGTAATTTCCATTTATTTGTAATGGAGTATTTTTAACATTACGGTGTTGATTCCTTACTTAAGTTAATCTTCAGCATGCACATTTCTACTGTATATGGAGTGAATTTAGAAGCTCCCTCAGTTGTCCATAAGAGTTGCTTGTTCAGACTAGCTTTGAATACTGATCACTAAATATAGTCAGCCATGGCCCTCCGTGGTACGAGCTGGGGTGATGACAGTGGTGAAACCAACCTAAAATTCTTGAAACAACAGAGGCTTTGGATGAGGAGAGTACAGCGCCCTGCCCAGTGATGCGGGGCAGGGTGTCTGTGTCTCTGTCTGGGGCTTGTGTCCACTGAGCCTCCCTGCTCTGAATGGAGGCCAGAATAGATGCTGGCTTTATTTTGACTGGACGGTCCTCCCAGCAGAAAATCACAGTGTGTGTTACTAAATGTTTAAGGCTCACCACATTCATTCATGAGTTTTTCTTCCCACAAAACCCAACTTTGCACTGCTGAACCCTACTGTAATAACAATAGAAAACAGAAGAAATGTTAAACTCCAAAAGTCATATCAGATGCTATGAACAGAGCAGGTTTTGCAGTTAGAAAACCTGTTATTCATTTACACAGTTTCACACATTCATGCCTCGAAAATAGGGATTGCTCAAAGGCACCCCAAAAGCATAATGCATCATTTTCAAAGTCCATATTTGCTGATTCAAACATCTGGACACAGGCCCATTTCTGTGAAGATTGCTGCCCCCTGCATCAGACACTTCACCCCAAAAAAGATCAAACATAATCCAGATATTTCAGCTGTGAGTTACTGTGGTAACTGCAGTTTTTCTTTTCTTGCACAAGTTTTATAAGTCCAAAGAAAAATAAATAATATTTTAAGTTACAGGGTTCAGTTAAGCATTGCTATGTGTCTCCTTTTATATCTTAAATGTCACATGGAAACCCACACAGTCTGTGGTGTCTTATACATAGCCTTTCCGTCTTGGTCCTCTATACATGTAACAACCAGCAGGCTCAGACATAATATATATTTGTCGACTCCACTGTTGTGTCACAACAAAGTCCTAGAGTCTGATTTCTGACTGTCTCATCAGTGAAATTTAAACACTAAAAAATGACTATTTTGTGGTAGGGACTAACAGCGTGAAATGTGTTCACACTGTTAAATAACATTTATTTGCGCTACTATGGAATGATGATACAGAGTGAGGCTTCACGTGGCCGTTTCATTGGTGTGAATGTATATGTGTATATGTGAAGCACTCCTCAATTAGAGCAGATAGTCTGCCTTCAAGATAATAATGTATGACAGAAATCTGGATTATATCTTTAATGTTAAAAAAGCCATGTCGTTGTCGTCGTTGTTGATTTATTAGACAGGCCAGCATACAGTCAGCACGATGAATTAAACAAAGCAGTAACCTTAGATCTGCATGTCTGACTGATGAGTGAAAGGGAAACTTGAGAGCAGCTGGTGGAAATAATGTATTTAATAATGAAGGAGAGAATCTAAGATGGCACAGACTCACATACAGGTCGACAGAAACAACGTCTGTTGTAGTATGTTAAACTACTTTTGCCAGGAGGCAAGGAGAAAAATAATAATAATGATAAGTCTGTGTAAATCATGTTATGGTTTGTCTTGAAAGCAAAGTTCTGCATTGTAGAAGCATATCACGTTGATCACGTATACAAACATGACTTAAGGCGTTCCAATGCCTCAATTTCAAATAGTTAATAGCCTTCTTTTAGCATTTGATGGCAGGTAAAGTGAACATCAGTGAAGAATTGACCTTCCAATTTGTGGCCCATGAC